CCATGAATAATGTCGAGTATTAAATATAAGTAGGCGATAAAGCTAAAATACGCCCTTTGCAGTGACTGTACCTATCTATTAACTCAATTTGAAATCACTTAACCCAGGTCCTTTCAGAAGCTGCAGCTACTTAACAAATACTTTGATCTACTTCTCGAACACTCGTAATACTTACTGCAAAATAGAGCACAAATAAGAAATCATTTGTTTCGCCTCATTGCAATTGCAAGCTTAAATAACTTTGACTGCAAAGTTTAAATGGTTATGAAATTGTGAGAAGAGACACAGTTTTGGCCCTTTGGCTTATTTCCGTAAGACATTATAGCAAGACCTTGAGTTCCCAGTTACCACAGGCTAATAGGCAGGTAGACGAACAGCTTATACTGATACAAAAATACATATATTTATATATATATATTATCTGGTCACGGCCACGCCTCCTGCTGCATGTTAGCAACATTCAATAAACCTCATTTACCCGTTTCCATTAAGACAGAAAATCACAAATATTAACTTTTTCAGTCCTGGCATCGTTTCGCAGTAACTGAACGTAGGTCATCAGTGGGATTATAATCCTTTGTTTTTGGCAACGCCTTGACTGGCAATAATGGCCATAAGTCGTACGTGCGCCTGACACCAGGCAAAATACATGGCAAAAATACGTACTGCAAGCAGACATACTTGTGGAAGTGAAAGTATTGGCAGAGCATTTTTGGCATGGCTGGAGCATGCGAGAATTTGCAATCGCGAGCAGCAACCGCAGTAGAAGCAAAAGCGAGTTGCAACAAAAATGCCGGAAGCAATACGAATTTCCGTTGCCAGAAAACTATAAGCACTTTGTGCTTGCCAGAGTGTGCTGGCGGTTCGTCAATTGGGTGGGCCAGTTATTGTGTGATTCAGGAGCAAGTGAAAATATGCACAGCTGAAAAACGAGCTGTCTGACTTTCTGACCGACAGGCGGACAGGCGGACAGACGGACGGTCAGACGGGCAGACTGGTAGTCGAGCAAGCGCTTTCCTTGTTAATGAATGCGTCCTGACCTGTTCTCCCATTAGCCCCGCTTTTGTTTCATACATGTCGGTATATTTGCCAGCTCCAACGGAGGACCAAAAAAGGGTGAGCTTTTACAATAAATATTACAAAGAACTCGTTTAAATTTTAAATTTTACTACCTTCAACGATGACGACGACGACGACGGAGCTTGGCACAGTGTCAAGCATGGTATAGGTAGAAGTACAGGCACAGGTACAGATTGTTGGAGCCGTTGATGTTTCGGGTGGCTTTTAACTTTATTAAAATAAATGAAAACGAGCTAAGCTTGTCTGCAGCTCCATTGCGGAACCGAGCTGCGACTGTTATTAAAACGTGAAACCTACACACAGCCCACACAAACACATAGACTTTACAGGCAATAAAGGGCTTTCAAATTTGGTGGTACAAGTCAACAATATGTGTTTTCTTCAATTTAAAATTTTATTTATTAATGGTAAGCCAATACGCGAGAAGTCGATAAGCTAGGCAGCAAGGTATCAGCTTTGCTGCCGAGAAGACACAGCAAACAAATGTACATATGTATGCGTAAGTCAATGGCCGACATAGACCCAGCCTGAAGTAAAGCCAGAGCATAGAACACTCTTCGGAAATCCAGTTACAGTCCGTTCATTCCGTCAGCCAGTTAAGTCAGTTACGAGCAAGTAGGCAAAGGAAAGGACGAAACCTAAAAGCATGTCGATATTAGGCAAGATAAATTGAAAATGAATTGCCAAATAGAGTGAATCGGGTTGGCCGGAAGGCGAGGAGTAGTGAAGTAGTGGAGTAGTGGGCCATTTCAAGGGAGTTCCTGCGAAACGGTGGTGTTCGCTGGAAAAACGTAAACAAGGTGCGGAGGGAATCAGTATAGACAACGTGGCATAGCATTCGGCAAAGCAACGGCAAGGGCCACGTCAATGGCATTAAGTCAGTCGCAGTGAAGGCATCAAGAGAATTGAATGAAGCGGAAACGGAAACCAGCTAATGAATAAGGCACAACGAACCAAATGAACGCCACAGTCTTGATGCCTTGCCGACTTATCCTGTCCTGTCCTGTCCCGTCCTGCCCTGCCCTGTCCTGTCCCGTGTCACGAAGCCCCAAAAACCGAAGTTAAACTACACAGTTCACTGGCTCGGTAAGGTTTACGCGGCTTTGACCACGCTTTGACTAACTAACGACCTTCACAGTTTATAAACAATTGAATATGTAGGTCTTTTGGTAAAGGCCGCAATGCGAACAACTTCGATTACTGCCACAATAGCACAATCAAACCTTTTCTTTAGCATTGACTGACTTGTTTCTGGTTCTATATTTGTTCGCTTCAGTTAATATAATTGTAGTTATTTATAAATATAAGCTCAAATAGGCATTTGAACTTTGAACTTTAATCTTTTAGTATAAGTTGTTTTAAAATGCAAACAACGTGAGAGCGAAAAATGTTGGCTAAGAAGTGCTAAGGCAGTTTTCGATCAAATGCACAAACTAAACAAATGTTCGAGCAAACAATCAACATCCCCAACAGAGAAGTAGAATGGGAGAAGGAGAGGAGATGGGGCGAGGGCGGGGGGCGGGGCGGCGACTTGTGTGCCATTGCCATTGACGTTGATGATACTGCTGCAGGGGAATGTCTAAAACGCACGCTTCGCAAAGTGTCGATAACAATTTACACTTGAGACGATATCTCAATATTGTCGCACGTCAAAAACAGCATCGACGGCAACCGACAAACCACGGCGAACTGCCCTGGAGCATGGGCATGGATCAGCTTTTGCTGGCAGCAGGACAATGCTGACCACGACGAGGAAAGCTGAAACTGAATTCTGATGATAGAACTGATGCGATTACCGCTTAGCTGCTGCGATGTCTCAGTATTGTTTTGTTTATTTAACTGGTACCAAAAACAAGGGAAGAGCGCCCGACCCGTGGTGTCAACCAAAAAACTGACACCAGCTCAAGTGGTAGTCAAACGACTGCCGCAGCTGCCTCCCCGTACTCAAGATGTAAACAGAAGTCTACAGTAAACAAGTCAAATGATAGCTACCAGAAATCTGAAATCATCTGAAGTGTCAAATATAAGTATTTCCCTTTTAGATAATAATCAACATCGAGGCATGTGGAACACTAGTTAGGAGCTTCGATTACCAAAGGATTGAAAGGATTACCAAACTATTGTAAAGCTGTTTATATTATTCAAAATCTAAACATATTTTATAGCTGCATAAAAAGTAAGTCTACATTAATCTAAATAGACAAATTAGATAAGCAAATGCAGCTAATAGCTATACTCTAAATGAAAATTAGTATTCAGGGTAGACTGTTTTTCTGCAAATGTTACAGATAGAAACAGGTGTGGCAGGGTCTTTAAGCTAGAATCTAGAAGACCTCAAACAGTAGCAAAAACATTTGCTTCTCACTTTGAAGTGTAAAAATTGATTCAGTGAACCGTTTTAGTTGAGCTTGATTTTCAATGAGAATTTCGTCACAAACACAGCAAAACGTTTGTTTATAGAAGCTAATCTGATCTCATGATGGTTAGGCGTGCACTGCAGAGCAGATTATGATTAAGACGAAGCCAATAGCCAGCCGGACACTCCCTGTTGGGGCCACTGTTTTTTACTATCTTGAAGAACATCAACGTTCTTGTAAATATTTATAAGTGCTATCAGTTGGGAAAAACCATAGAAAAGAAATGGAAGTAGGCACGCTGGAAAAAGCTATAAATATTAAGCCGCGTTTTACTAAGAGCCAGTTCGGCGTCCAACAGTTTCCAACTGGCTAGAGCCAACGCCAAGCACTCTTATGATTAGCCACTTTAATATTTACCTTGCCATCCTTGTCGATGGTAATTGCAGGCACTCCTGATTCGGGCGATTAATTTGCGGCTGCAGTGCTTGGGACAGCGTAAAATTCGCATCAAATGTGTATGCAGGAAATCATTCGAAAAGGGACGAGTTTCCAGTTGAAAGGCTGGCGGGGTCGCTATTCAAATTAGTGAACAGAAAATGTTGCCTGGCGGCACTTGGCATATTTGTCTGATGCTTAACCGAGTTGGCACACGCACAGCCAGCCAACACGCCCAATCCAGATCGAGAGCCGATCTCTGCAGCGTAGTTAGTGGCAGATATATTGGCATTGCGGAATCGCTCAAGTACGCTCTACAATGGCACTCGTTCAGACAATGTTAAATGCGCGCTCTTTGGCTCTGCCTGTCAACTCAGCTCAAGTGGCCCGTCCCGCCCATTGCGACCCCTGCCCCATCCACCTCTGGCATCCATCTTTCTGCCTCTCCCACTCCTCTTCTCTGACTACACCAAAGCAGAGCAAGTGCACTTGTCACAATCATTGACATCAATTCGTCGCAGCTGGCTTTTTAGCTGGCGCACGGTTGGGGTCGCAGCCCCAGCGAACGGAGAGGGCGACGTACCCTAAATGTTTTGGCATAATATCAAGCTCATTAAAGCTGACCAACGTGGACCTAACAACAAATATAATGGCAAATCATCTTCACTTCACCATAAGCCAAACCAACTAGGGGCTACAACTTAAATGGGGTATTTTTTATTTTAAAATAAATGGCGGAAAACCCGATGAATATTCTTGACCAAGATAAACAGCCAAATCGGTTTAACCCTTTCCCTTCGTCTTCCTATCCATCATGTGTATTTTGTTCTAAGAGGTGGCCATTAGATTCGCTATGCAAACATCGAAGAGACCGTGAGTTATGTATCGCCAGTTTTCCCTAGTCGGGATCTCTTGACGGTTGTTTAAATGCCACTTCGTATCTTTTAAATGTATAGATTTATGCATAACGTTGAGCGATTCGTTGTCAAACTACAACATTTATCATCATCTTCAACTATCACATTTGTTGGACTTGCACTTGAATATGTGGACATATATACATATACATATGTGTACATGTATTTATTTGTAGATACATATATCCAAATATGTACATATATATGAATATATATATACATATGTTCGGACATTTATAGCAGAATAGAAAATCCATGGCATGAATTTCAATAATCTCTAGAAAGTGTTTATAAACGTAGACATAGTCGGCGGCATCTGTCCACCTTCATCCAATTGCTACTTGGTGTGAATCCTTAGGGTGTTGTAGTTGAATTTGCTTTTGTATGTGGGGCGGGATGCTTGTAGCTCAGGCCTTGCTGCTGGACCACGTTTGCTGAAAGAGAGTAGTTATGTAAGCTAAGCACTAAGCGCAAGGCATAAGGTCTAACCAGGCACAGTGAAACTCCGACAGCTTCATATTGTCCGTGTAGACACAATTCTTCGGGCTCTTCGGCCCACATGCGTACGATTTCGAGAGTCTATGTTTCGCTAGGAGGCAAGGAAAATTGTTGTTGCAGTTACACAATTCGAAAATCTCAACCAGTTGCCGCGTAATATGATCCTCCAGAATCTTTTCCGGACTGGGGCTCTGCGAGTGCTGCGGATTGACGTATCTCATGATCCTCGACACAGTCCGCTCGTAATCCAGCGGCAGGCCAGTATTTCGATCAGCACGGAACAGCCGTGGAACACGAGGCTTTACTTTTGGCTTGGTCACCACAATTGTTTTACGCCACACACGTAATGGGCCTTTGGTTGACCCTGGGGAGTTCTGCTTCAGGTCGCACTGGGGCTGTCGCCGCACCTTAGAGTTCATAGTTTTCGGGGCTGGACAAATTATTTGTTTCTTCTGGTTTCTAATAGCGTTTGATATAGCCATAGTAAAACAAAAACAATTTAAATACTTTTAATTTAGCTTGTTCCTAAATATTCAAACAATTTTTCATTTGTTTTAATTGAATTTTTTGTTGAATCTGACTTAAATGCGACGCTCGCTAGATTAACTGGAAAAGGGCGGACAAAGCCTTCTCAAATATTCAAAATTATTTCTGACCTATGAAACAGTCGCTGAAGCGCAGTGGTGCATAGACAGCTGGTCGATTGTTGCAATTATTTAACTTGCACTCAGATAAAAATAAATACACACATCTGTAACTGGACAGACACAACAAGTTGCAGGCTGCTGTGGCCACAGGCAACTTAACTTTTGAAACAATGTCAAATACAATAAACGCTTGCTGTGCATGTTATTGCAAATGACACCGACACAACCGAGCGGCATTCATGCAGACACATCCAACTGTTCTTATGCTTTTATTATTGGTATTGTTATTGTTATCGTTGTTGTTGTGCGCCTTGCGACGTGCGCCGTGCGCCTTGTGCCTTGTGCCTTGCGCCTATGCCTGCGAGACCGCATTATTGCATTGCAAATGAACAATAGCAGTTGCAATTACTTCTAGTTGGTGTAAGTATGTACAAGTGTACGGTGCATGGCGAGCCAGAGTCAGTCAGTGCTTTTGAAATACGGCACACACACACACACACACATGTAGCGCTGTGTCCACTCACGCACATCTGCAGGAGATGTGCTGCAATGGAAGCTGCACAAATGGAACAAAAGCAATATAATTAATTATCAAAATACAAGCCAAGCAGAAACAGCATGATGTAACAGCGATACACCCGCCACAAGCATGGATCATCACAATTCCGGCAATGTAAATACTACTCTTGCAATCCCACAAGATGAATAGCATTAGCAAATGTTGCAAAGTTCTCAGAGTTATATTTCTCGGCTCTGGCTGGCACTGATAAGATTCTCGATCAATACAATGCTAAGATAAAAAATTAAATTAAATAACATATAAGAACCTGTAAAATAGTTAAAATTTCACAGCGATAAGTGTGATATTCTGATGAGCAAAAAGTAAGTTTTGCGCTTGAATCGAATGCCTTCGCCATAAATAAATAAAATACATTTGATGCGCGGTATATACCCGTCGAGCAATCTTCTGAGCATCTCGGAGCAGCATAAATATATTTTTTTTAGAACGAAGGAAGTGACTTCGTACCTTGATTCAGTCTTTGTGTGCGAGTGGGCAGAAGAATGGAATGTATCAAAAATAGGTTTTTTTTCGCTTTATGTCGAAATAAATGGATTTTACATGTTAGTCGAAAGCATTCACCACTCGCCTTCGGATCGTAGGGCGCCCAAGTTGTTGCTGTGGGCAATGCTAATGTCGAGAGATGACAACAACAATAACAACAACAACAACATTGTCAACAGACAGTAGCCATAATGAAAATATAACGAGACATTAAAACCTCATTTCATACCTATACGAAAATGTTTACAAGAGGAAAGCCGAAACGTGTTCTGCTCAGGTGTGCTCGAGCGAAGGCTTACAAATTGTTGGCATATTAAGAAGAAAGAAGAAATTGAGAAATTCTTAGTTTCTTAAATTATGCAAATTTATGTAAATGATAAAGAAGAAGCTGTACATATTGCATATGGGAAGCCCTTGTATGGAGATTTCGTCTTTTATAGCCTACTTTTGAGCAGTTGCCCTACTCTACTAGCAACTTGATTCGGGTCGACATCTACACACTTTGAATATACGAACGCAGACATTTTTATCGAAGCACTTTTATGCGCTTTATGGGATTAAAAACAACATTGCATTTTTATAGCCAACATGTTCTTGGCTATAATTAAAATACACACTCAAGTGTAACTGCAACTTACAATCCAAAAGTTTATTTGGTCGAATACCACAAGAGCAAGGCCATTACAAGCTCCTTCCTGTATGTGAAGTGCATGGCCGTCCATGACATGACCGCAGAGCCAACTCAAGAGCCCGGAGTGACTCGATTTAATGGAAAATCGACCACAAAAACAGTAACAACTTGAACGATTCACAAATTGCAACATACGATGACCACTCGAAGCAATGAAACGAAGACCCTAACTGTGCAGCAATTGACATGCTTGCAGTACCCTGCCAAACACGAGCAGGATAACAGAGTTCACACTATTCGAAGGTTTATCCAAGGATATTTGGAAATTTGAGCTGGAACATTGAAAACTCGACTATGATTTCCGATCAAGCCTTTGCATTGCCTGAGATATTGTTACTAGGAGGAAAACAACTTACCACAATGTTGTTTCAAATGTTTCAGAGAATTGGAAGGAAGTGAGGTAAACGTAGGGTTAGACCCGGCCTTCGTAACCAGCCAAAAGGCTGGAACTTTCAATCTCGAATCTGTAAGACAGTCAGTCAGACTGAACAAACAGTACAAATATATATATATATATATAATGGTTCTTCACATTCAGTCTATCTTTACTATTCATGGAACTGCCAAGATATTAAGTGGGGTCAGTTTTGTGTGGATTATCGTCGCAGTGGCAAGGCAGTCCTGTGCTACGACTTGTCGTCGACGCCATTAAGCACAAGTTTTACGAATAAGCAACGCGAAAAGTGTACAAACAAGCCGCCAACCGCAGGTTCAGCCTTCTGGCTACGCGATTTTCAGCAAACTAATTCAAGTGTTCCGTGAAATGAGTCGAAAATTGACATTCAATTTTCGAGACCATTGCACATTGCCGAGCGCCAACCGCACTGCAATGGAGTGCCCAAAAATAAAGGTGCGACATGGAACTCCAACGAATTTCTTTCAGCACTGAGTTTAAGGCAACATCTGTACCACAGCAAGTGCTCGAAATGATCTGAGAATTCTTTCGAACATAAACTGTTGACTAATAACACTTAATAAAGAACAAACTCAAAGCTGGCCTTGCACCTTAAATCTATACTGTAAATGGTCAGAGCACAGGTAAAATTGTAATCAGTATATAGTTGACTGAGCGCTATTTGGGTGACAGTTAATGCGACAGGTGTGCAAGTGTGAAGCTGAATCATGCATGTGACTTAACGTGCTTCGAAAGTTCAAGTTGTGCCATTGTTGCTGTTGCCCTGTACTTGGCCTATACTCGTCCCGCATACGCATACAAATACAGAGCAGCAAGGACATTGGTATCATCCAGCACGCAATGTGGTGTGGAGCGGGCGACAGGCCATTGTGTAGGTAGTTAGGTATGATGAGGGCATGAGCACAAGGAAGACACAAGTATAAAATTTCAATGGAACCGTAGTGTCTTCTACATTTTCATCATTGTTGGCACGACGCTAAGGCCAGGTCTTTGCACAGGCAACAAGGCAATCAAGATTCGTTGTCGGATGCAGCTCGGAGCAGCCGAGTGTGCCCGTGCTGAGCAGTCACTAGGAAGAAGTAACAAGGCATGGCTAGCAGGTCATGGTAGCTTACTTCAGCAAGCACGCAATTAGACTTGCAGTCTCTCAGTCCTCTGGCGCCACTCATGGGACCACTGACCACCCCACCCGCCCTGCCGCTGCCGCTGCTACTGCTACAGCAACTGCAACTTTCCCACTCACACTCACCATAATTATTCACGAACTTTTGCGTAATGAGTGTGTCGCAGTGAAGCCGCCAACGAGAAGAAAAAGAAGCGCCCAAATTGTGCCGACTTTGTCCCTTCGCCCCTTCGCTCCTCGCACTGGCGCAGCTCATTAAATATTTAATAGCGAAATTAAAAGAATATGCAAACTGTGCACAAAATGCTCTGACATGACTTGCCACAGAGAAAATCCCGCCAAATGTGCATTTCCAGCTAAAAAACTTGCTATGTAGTCGAAAATTTAAGCAGATGCAGAAGCAGAGTCAGAGAGGCAGAGACTACGACAATTATTTACACAATTGTTTATTAAAATTACTTTTAAAACTTGTTAATTTCACAGTAGAGTTTCCATTCGATAATAAACACATATTTACACGAAACTTTTTCGGCTCAGGCTGCTGGCTGAGTGTTAAGCATCAAATCGCGTTGCCTTTCAGTCTAGGCCAGCGCCTGCCTGTGCCCGAATGCCAGCGAAATAAACTTGTTCAAGTATATATTTGTTTTTATTGATCGCTTGCGGTTGTGCACAATTTAGATCAAGGATATCGATATGGCTTCATGTTGATGCCAAGGCATTTTGTCAATGCTAAGGAACATTTATGCCCATTTTCATTTTGGCGCAGAGTGCCTCGTGAAAACTTGATAGGCAAAGTGGAAAATAATGTGGCTCGGAAGGCAGTAGCAGCAGCTACACCACCAGCAGAAGCAATGCCCTTGCCTCTCGTCGGTATTGTTGTTCGTTAGCATCGAGTAAGAACGAAATTAAATTATTTTCAAGTGAATTTATCAGCGTGGCCTAAACGTTTCTGCGTAGCACCCGGAAATTGCTAAATATTTTTGTGTTGCCAATTGAGTTTTTAAGACCGGCATTAGACCCACCCTGGCACTTATGACTGTGTTATTAACGACATAATTAGACAATCAAATGGTTATGCTCGTATCGTCGGCCCATCTGAATGAATGAATTTTCATTTTACGATTGCGAACTGAACCATCCGCTAAAAATGGGGCATGTGCATGTATATTTTCCCTTCCATTTGATTTCAATTATAATTGAATATTCATTAAGTGCATTACCATCTAATCCCTGACTTCCATGTGAGAAAAGCCTAAGCACTTCTCAGCGACTGTGATTTCTCTGAAGCAAACTTTCGATTAAATAGAATCCCTTGCCCGTAGACCGACGCCTGTGCAACTGATTTCTATACAGACAGCCGACAATACCTATTTGCCATCGAGGAGGTTGAGAAAACGACTCCGCGAGGACTACTTTTAAAGCAGGCCCAGGCCCAGGCCCAGCCAGAGGTGCAGGCGGAGCTCGTCTAAACGGGGCCAAAACGGACGTTTCCTGATTAATTAGGGCATTAATTCTGCTAAATTACCGTAATACATTAGAGAGATCGAAGCCATTTGTCAAAATTAACCTGAGGAGCAATGTAAATGAATTCGCTGAGCGTCCTAATCAAGTATTTCGACGGCATGGGCACTT